ATTCCAAAAGGGGAGGGGCATAGGAGAGGATCGCAGCAGCCCCGGCGGCTGGGCCAAAAGATGTGGGTCATCCCTGGGGCAGAGGAGGGCAGGGTGACAGCACGTTTACCGGGGAATGGTGTATTCGCTGAGGAACGGCCGGGCTCCCAGAGCCCCGGCAAGGCCTGAGGGAAAAGCCGACCAGCGGAGGGGGGCGTTTCATACAGATGGAAGCGAAAGAATGCCTCCTCGTTGCTTACCCTGTAACCGGCTCCCTCCATAGCCGCGACCGAGGACCCGCTGACCCGGCTCCCTCCTTTTCCGGGTCAACGTGCTGTCACATCCGGATAGGAGACTCCCCTCAAGCGTGGACAGTGGTGGCGCCCTTGCGGCTTCTAGAAGAGGAGTGGGTTTAGCTATCTTTCAAAATGGGGTGGTTGCACTTGAACCACGAGGGTTTAAGTCACGAGGATTTAAGTCACACGGCGCAGACTGTAAAGATGGAAAGGGCCAGCAGGGTGCGCAGGCGCAGTGCTAAGGTCCTTTCAAAGAAGTAAACAAGAGGGAGGGTCCAATAGCTCCACCCCCTCGCTCAACCGCTCCGGAACGCCCACTACTTTCTCCATATTGTATACTGGCATTGAAGCCAAAGAGGTGCCATTTTGCTTGAGGGCACGGATAAGGACTGTCAGCTGAGGCCATGTTAATGCGGGGCAGCCCCATCCCTCTGCGGGTCGCGAAAGCGAGATCCTGGGAAAGAGAAACCGAGAAAGGAAAAGAAGGTGAGAGAAGCTGAGCATCACAACAGGCGCTGAGAGACTCGGGTTTACGGAACGAAGCGGTCCCAGGCAAATCCACGGGTCACCGTCGAGAGAAAGCTGTCTGAGCCGCCATGTTGAAGTTGGGCAAACTGAAGCAAGAAAGGCTGGCTTGTTGGCTCTTTGCCAGTCTTGATGCTGAAGGGGATAGGCTGGAGGCAGAGCCCATATATATTATGGGCGAGTGATGCTAGGCTGGTTGCAAGGTCATTATCGAGTACTGTTTTCTTCCACTTCTGTGGAAGAGACTGATTTATAAGTGAGGGACTGTGGTCCTGAGTATGTATGTGCAGGTCGCCATGTTTCTTGGGGTGAAATCGAATTGGTCAAGGCTTGTTCCCGAACAAGCTGAAGCCTTTTCTCATCTTGCTTATGCGCATCCTGCTTCCGCCATTGCCTCTGAGATCCAATGAAGCCCCTGCGACCGCCATCTTTATCTCGGGCGGCCTCCATTAGGGAGGCGGAGTGTGCAGCGAGGAGGTGGGCCAACTATGCGGAAGTGACGCAGGGCGCCGCCATATCTTTTGAGGGCGGCGACGGCGCCAGGCCGGCCATGCTGGCTACGGGCACGTGAGTGGAGGCGGCGTTGTGAACCGCGGTGTGGGGAGGATTTGGCGGTCCGGAGGAGAGGGGCGCCGGGAGGGCGAGCCGCTTTCGGAAGGGATATAGCCTGCGTAGATCAAGGGGCAGAGATCGTCCAGCGACCCCACGCCGAGCGCTGGAAAGGGGTCGCTGGCGTGAACCGTCGTGTCTGAGCTGAGGCAAAGCCTAGATAGCCTCATCTTCCGACCTTCAGACCTATTAGGAGTCTGACTGTGGACCGGGTCCCTGGGGTCTGGGGGTGCTGGGGGTGTCTCGGGACGCCCCTCACCCGTCTAAAGGCGGGACTTCCGGCCTCCCCCCACCTGGGCGGGATTTCCTGTTTTCTCTCTGGAGAAGTGGGTCTTCGCTGCCCCTGGGCAAGCTGGGGATGTCTCTCAGCGTTGGAGAAAGACCCCAGACGTTCGCCCCGCCGCGGACCACGGGGTGCATCCGCGAGTTCCTCCCGTCTTCTAGTGAGGGTTGCGGGGGCACTTCCAGTCTGACAGGTGGTTGGAGGGGGGCCTTCAGTAGTATCTCATGCCTTGGGCTACTTTTGCTCTTTCTCACCTCTTCCTGGAGTCGGTTTCTTCACTTCACCTCCTGACCTCCTAAGAGGCCAGTCACCTTACCTCTCCCTCCCCTTCCTGTGGGGGACAAGTCTTACTTCCTTTTCCCTTCTTCCTAATCTTAAACTGCTCTATTTGAGGGGTGGTGGTGTCCTCCGTCTCTCAGCTCTTGGAAGGATGCAGGACTTACTCCGGAAACTGTAGGGGCTGGAGACTCCCCAAGACTTGGTTTCTTTCCTCTTGGGTAACTGACTCCAGAGAATCCCCAGAGAGGTCTGCATTATACTCCTCCTTTTTGTGCATGCTCTCTGAGGTGGGGAAGACCCTCACCCCCATTACTCTCTTTGCTGCCTGGTGGTTATGCTAAGATCTAGGACAGAGAGGAATTTAATCGTGGTGTCCCAAAGAAGTGAGCCCCTGGCCTAGCACTGTTAGGCTGTCACCTTGGATCAGTAACATTTCCTTGTCCTAGCCTCAGCTTCCTCCTTCAGATGGGGTTGAGTGGCTGTGAGACCCTGTGCACCTCCCACTACTGTGAGATTTTGGAGTTGGACGGACAGCAGTGTCAATCTAGCTGTGTGCCTTTAGGCCAGGGCCGTAAGCTCTCTGAGCCTCACTTTCCTCATCTGGACTAGGAGATCACAAACCTTTCCTTACAAGGTAGGCAGGATGGCATCCCAGTATTCAGAACAGGCTCTGGCTTTAGACTGCCAAATTCAGGGCCCAGCGCTCCTCTCCTGCTGTCTGGCCCTGGTCTCGGTTGCAAGTGTAAAGTGGGGTGATAACAGCTGCTCCCTCATAGGGCTGGTGAGAGGGTGGGATGAGAATGTTGAGGGCACACTCCGGTTCCTGCCTGGCACGTGACAAGTGCAAGATGAACTTGCTCTGGGGTCTGTCAGGAAAGGTGCTGGTTGTGCTGTCACTGTTTGTACAGTGACAAGGGCTGGGCTTTGTACTCCGTGAGCTCTAGGTGCCTCATTTTTGAGGAACAGTGTTGTAGGAAAGGCAAGCTTTGTGGGCCGATTCCAGGTGCAGGCTGAAGCTCACACACCATTTTCTGATCGGCCCCTCCCTCAGGCCTACCATGTGCTGGGCAAGGCTGTTGGTGGCTCAAGAGTTGAACCAGCAGGGCCGCCCTGCCCTCAGGGGCTCCCACACTAACCCGGGAGATGGATGTGAATCCAGATAGTACTCCCCAGAGAGATGTGTTCTAGAGTGGGGGTCGCTTAGATGTTGGGGGAGCCCACGGGGCAAGGTGGGGGCTGACCTGATCTAGAGGTGAGGGAAAGAATGACAAGTAAATGGAGAACCAGGGGTCTAAGTGTGTGTTGGGGAGCACCTTGACCGAGGCCTCAGGCCTAGAAGTCTGGAAGGGGCTGTGACCTTGTCCTGGGGATGCTGGGAAGGGGCAAGGGTAGCTCCAGGCATGAAAGGACCCCTGCAGGGCCATATGCTGGCCGGACTGGAGGCCGAAAGGCACTGGAAGAGGCTAGGATGGTGGTCAGGGCAGCGCTGTCCAGTAGAGAGATAATACAAATCATGCATCTAATTTCAAATTTTCCATAAGCCACATTTAAAAAGTAAAAAGAAAACAGATGTTCATTTTCACTATATATTTTATTTGGCCAGTATATCTAAAATGTCATCATTTCAGCATGTAATCACTCTCCGATTGTGGGATATTTTACATCCTACCTTTTTGTACTGAGTCTTCAGAACCCCATGTGGCTTTCACGCACAGCACCTCTCACCTTGGACCCACCACATGTCAGGTGTTCCTTATGCACCTGTGGCTGGTGGCTCCCAAGGGCAGATCCAAGAGGAAAGACGGGGCCTGTGGGGACAGGCAGGGCAGGAGGGATGGGGCTGGGAAGTTGAGGCCTGGATGGAGGGGCGTTCTGGGAAATGGCAGGTTTAGGAGAAGGTGCTGAGCTCAGCTGGGACAGGTGGATGGCAGGGGTGGGAGTGATGTCCAGGGACAGGTGGACACATGGGGCTGAGTGGGGACAGCGCAGTCAGCCCAGCCTTAGCCCCCTATGTCCTGCTCTGCCCTGCAGGGCGCGGATGGCGTCGGGGCGCCCTGAGGAGCTGTGGGAGGCCGTGGTGGGAGCTGCCGAGCGCTTCCGGGCGCAGACAGGCATGGAGCTGGTGCTGCTGACTGCCGCGCCGCCCCCGCCACCCCTCCCTGGCCCCTGCGCCTATGCAGCCCATGGCCGGGGGGCTCTGGCCGAGGCTGCCCGCCACTGCCTGCAGGACATCGCCCTGGCCCACAGGGCTGCTGCTGCTGCCCGACCTCCCATGCCCCCACCAGCACCACAGCCACCCAGCCCTACAGGGAGCCCACCGCAGCCTGCCCTGCCCAGGGAGGAAGACAAGGAGGAGGAGGATGAGCCAACAGAGACAGAGACCTCCGGGGAGCGGCTGGGCATCAGTGATAATGGAGGTGAGAGGGGCAGGGGCTGGGGCAGCTCTCTGCTTGGCACGTTGCTTCCACACTAGATTTTCCTGGAGGGGTGGGACTTGCTGGACTCTGAGCCCTGACGTTCTGTGGGAGCTGGAGTCTCATAGAACCTGCGTGCCAGGCTGACTTGCTGCCTGTGAGTCACTGTGTGACCGTGAGCAAGTCATTTTCCTCTCTGCGCTACACTGTGCTGGGTCCAGCTCTGTGCTGGATATAGACACAAAGCCAACTCATGGGACTTCTGGTCTGGCCAAAGAACTAGAGTCCTGACATGAGGCCATGCCCTGTGGGGGCTGTGGGATTGGGAGGGGGTGCCTCCTCAGCCAGAATCATGAGCAGAACATGATTTATTTCCAAATCTGGATGCCTTATGCCTATGAGAAGAAAGATAGGAGTTAAAAGGGAGTCAGGGATGCAAGCAACAGCTGAGGAAGCCAGGGGAGGGAACAACTTGCAGTTTTGGGGAGAATCTGGAGGTCGGATGCTTCCTAGAGGCTGGACTGTAACATTAGGGCTTTGAAGAGTGAATAGGAATTTGCAGGGGGCTTAATAAATAGGAGTTACTTACTACTACCAATAGCTGGCTTCCTCACTGTTGCTGGAGAAATCTTGCGTAGGGTTAAGGGCACAGACTCTGGAGCCACATGGCCTGAGTTCAAATCCCCATGACACCATTTATTAACTGTGAGACTTCAGGCAAGTGGCTTAATCTCTCTGTGCCTTCAGGTTCCCATTATGTGAAACAGGGATCGTAATAATCTCATATTTCTCTCAAGCTGTATTCTGAATCCGTTCATTCCAAACAGACCTTACAGACTTCCTGTTCATCCAGTTGTTTTCACCTGGGAGCATAACATATAGAAACTAGATTTCTTTCTGCCGATGACCAGGCAGATAACCAGGGAAAGGGTGTTGGAGGCAGAGGGAGTAATGGTTCCAGAAACCTTGAAGTTTGCAAGGGCCTGGCCAGTGCAGGGAGCAGGAGGCGGTAGCTGGAGGTGACCTGACTGGCCTGGGCCTCTAACACCAATCGCAGGGCTCTTTGTGATGGACGAGGATGCCACCCTCCAGGACCTGCCCCCCTTCTGCGAGTCTGACCCTGAGAGCACAGACGGTGAGTGTCCTAGGCTGTCCCCATGCCCTGGGTGGGGGGGTTGTCTGGGATTGAGGCAGGGACCAGAAGCTAAAGCATGCCCTCTTTCCCAGACGGCAGCCTGAGTGAAGAGACCCCCACTGGCCCCTCAGCCTACTCAGTGCCTCCGGCCTCAGCCCTGCCCACACAGCAGTACGCCAAGTCCCTGCCTGTGTCTGTGCCCGTCTGGACCTTCAAAGAAAAGAGGACAGAAGCACGGTCATCGGATGAGGAGAATGGACAGGTGAGGGGCAAATGGCAGGGAAGGTGGGTGGGAAGGGCCAGAGCTGCTTCCTCCAGGGAGCCCTCAGGCATGGATGGATGCCACATTTCATAGGATTACTCGTACCTCCCACCTCACCAGGCAGGATCTTGGGCCGGAGCCAGGCAGTGTTAACTATTACAGCCTTACAGAGTGTCCCAGTGTCTTGTAGAAAAAGCCCGCTCTTGTTTCCAGGAACAGCTCCATTTATTGAATAAATGCTGCAGGCAAGGCACAGGGACTTTGGTATCCCCTTCAGATGGGGAAACTGAGGCTCAGAGGAGTCCAATCACTTTCCATACATCCCCCCACCTCACACCCCCTGCCTTGGCCTTGTTCTCTGTTTCTCCCATATGATCTTACTTGTGCAGTTCCTGGGCTGGCCAGGGTGGGTCCTCATCTCCCATCACTGAAGCTCCCTGAAGCAGAGGGGAAACTGAGTCACTGAGAGTACATGTGACTTTCCCAGGACCTCAGCCTGTAAGGGGCAGAGCTGGGATTGGCACCCAGCTTCCTTTTGGAAAGGAGCTGTGGGCTTCACAGGAGGAGGCCTTGGGTCCCATGTTCACCCTCCCTGTGACTCCTCAGTGTCCTCATTTACATACTGGCAGTGTCCGTCAGCTACTGTTGTCCCTGTTACTGGTGGAAACAGTTAATGAACAATGTTCAAGACCTAAGCACTGGGCCTTGGGCTGGTCTCTGAATAGGTTCAGGTTCAAGTCCAGCTCTTGTTGGTGGCCTCTCTCATTTTGTTGAGGGCCAGGCCCACCCAGCTCAGAGTGACAGGGACTGTAAGAGACTTAGCTCTAGTTGCGGGGGCTGCAGGCAGAAAGACTGCCCCTCCCAGGTGGAGGCTGCCAGAGAGGGATCCTTTCTATACAGGCTGGCCACATGATAGTTCCTTTCCTGAGCAGTGACTGTGTTGATTTTCTCAGACCCTATTATTGTGATGATCATCAGAGGAGGAGACTGAAGCCTTCAATGGGGTGAAATCCCTGTGGATAGCTAGTGGGTGGCAGAGGCCTGATTGGCACATGACTGGATCCCAAACCCAAATCCTTAGACAGGAGACCCTCTGGATGTACACAGCCTGATGGTCAGCAGACAAGCAGTACTTCCACTGTGTGAAGAAGGAACTAGAGCACAGTGTTGCAGGCCAAAAAGGGGAGAAGGGCAGGAAGGCTTCTTGGAGGAGGTGGTGGTTGAGCGGGGTAGGAAGATCCTACATCCAGCAAGACAGGGTGAAGGGCCTTCTGGCCATGGGCATCACAGGGAGGAGGCCTGGAAACCAGGGTGCAGGTGCCGCCATGCCAGGGTGGGGGTGCACCGTGAGGCGGGTTATGTGGGCATCTTTGCGGGTGCTGACCCGGTCCATGTTGCTTGTATCCGCAGCCCTCGTCGCCTGACCTGGACCGCATCGCAGCGAGCATGCGCGCGCTGGTGCTGCGGGAGACCGAGGACACCCAGGTGTTCGGGGACCTGCCACGACCACGACTCAACACTAGCGACTTCCAGAAGCTGAAAAGGAAATACTGAGGCGCAGTGTCCGCCCAGTCCTACACTACACCCCCGCCCCGCCCCCAGGGCCCTCAATCGGAGTCAGATTCGGACTGGCTTCCTCTGTCCCTCCAGCCCCAGCCAATCCCCTCTGCCCTTTCAGCCTACCGCCCCCTTCTGCGCCGAGGAGCGGGACCTATCCAATTGCCTGACAGGGTCTGTCGCCTCTTTTTTGCCCAGCGACAGATTGTTTCTATTAAGTGACTGGCTTGCTCTCCGACGGGCGTGGCTAGTTCTAAACCCTAAATGGGTGGATTCGCATCATTTTCTGCCTAGCGACAAGAGCTTTGCTCGCACGGCATTGGCTCTATCCCTGGAAGAGCATAGCCAAGTCCCAGGATTGGGTGGTGGTGCTCTACTTCTGACTGGTGAATGGGTAGCTTCATTTGATTGGCTGGAACGCTATAAAGGTCTTGACCAATCTCCCAAGAGTCACCAGCCGCCCTTCCTGAATCCTCATACCTGATTGGGTCCAGCCTCCTGGGGGTGTGGCCAAACCCGCCAGTGCCCAGGATTGGCCTGTGGCCTTAAATTGACGTTCTTTACACTACTGGGACAGGTCGTTTTTTATTAAGTCCTGACAATTGGTCTCTGGTCCCCTCAGGGATGGCCCGACCCTGACCCTACGTCTGACACACACTGGTTCCATCCCGTAACAGCCTGCCAATTGAAGCCGGTCCTTGTGTGCTGGACGCTACCAGCTCCCGCCCCTCTCCCCTTCCCCCACAGGTGCCTTAAAGGGCCCTCGTCCACCCAAGGTGGGGGGCAGGGGTCCTCACTCTCCGGCCCTGGAGTGGGGGAGAGTGGGGGGTGGGGATCGCGAGTTGGGAGGGGCGCTCTGAGATTAAAGAGTTTTACCTCGGTTAAATGTTTTTGGGGAGTGTTGTGGATGTTCAACTTTTTCCAAAGTCGAATGAGCAGCATCTCATTATACACTGTAAAGCTGGGAGTGGGAATTATTGTCCTCATTTTACAAAGAAAATGGACATTAGTGCGGTGGGAGCCCTGTTGACCACGGAGCCCCAGTCTTGCAGGCAGGGAAGGGAGCGGGGAGTGTCGGAATCGGAATTGGTCTCTGGAGCCTACATTGTCCCCAGCAAAGTCTGGATACCTCCAGCTGAGGCCAGTTTTCTGCTATAAGACAGCGGGAGGTTAAAGAATAAGCGGCACCTGGTCCGAAGTTAGGGCTGGACCAAGTAAACAGGAACTCTGGTCTCATCATAACCACCGGAGGAGTGTTAACAATAGGCAAGACTTAAACGGCAAACTACCACCCAAACACTTATAAATTATTTGTGTGTATTAACTCCTTTAATCTCCCTAGTAACTCCACGAAGTGGAAACGATTAGGCCCACTTTATAGATAAGAAAACTGCAACATCGAAAGTAGGAGTACTGTTCGAGGGTGGGGGTTTCTTTGACTGCCAATGATCATTAAATGGGAAAGAGAACTCACTGTAACTATCTCCAGCAAAGGGAAGGAAAATTAGAGTTCTTAGTGTAAACAGAATCTACAACAAATGGTCCCCGCCCCCTACTGGCCTGAGCCTCACACTGCAGCAAGAGAGATGAAGGTCAGAGCTGCGGAGGGACCACGGGCCGGAGGTCTGGTAAGGGGCCGGCCTCCGTCGTGGGAGGAACTCTCAAGGCCCCGCCTCCTCCAGGACGAGTCATTTCCGTCCGCGGAAAACCAGAAAGCCGCCGGCGGAGCAGCGGGCCTCAGGTAGGGCCTCCTCGGTGGGAAGTGCAGGGTGAGCCAGAGCGCCGGTGAGCGTTGGGCCGAGGGGGGAGCGCGCGAGGTCCTAGCCCTTTGCCCTGGGTGGGACTTAAGGGTCCCAAGCTCCCTGAGGACCGACCCGGGCGTCGTCACCTCGGAAACGGTGCGAGCCCTAGGCAGGCGAGTGGGTGGGACTTCCCGAGCCTTCAGCGGTTGGAAGGAATTCCTGGTGGAGGGACAAGAGGAGGCGGGACTTCCTGTAGCAGCTGAAGGCGACCTGCCATCCAAACATTTACCTACTTTCCCTCAGGCTGGTGCCCAGGAGAGCCGAGATGGAATCCAGGGGCCGCCTGTGGCTGGAGAGCCCCCCGGGGGGTGCACCCCCCATCTTCCTGCCCATGGACGGGAAAGCCCTGGTTTTGGGCCGCGGGCCCCTGACCCAGGTTACCGACCGGAAGTGCTCCAGACACCAAGGTGGGCAGGGGCGGGGCCTGAGCTGGAGAGGGTGTGGCCTGCTTCCGGAGCGGAACCGTCTTTGGGAAAGATGGACAGTCAATTCAGTAAAGCACATTCTTAGCCACCAGGCGAAATTGTGTGGTGCAGCCAGTCCCGAAGTTGGCAGGAAGATAAAGGCTGTGTCTGACCTGGAACTAGCAGACTCCTGGGGGGGGG